CACATCTTATTCATATTTAAATTAGATGTACTTTTTATCTTTGAGAAATTTCGAGAAATGCCATTTTTCAAAAATGCAACACTTTCAAAATTTTTGCAAAATGAAAAATTTTTAAAAATGTCATATAAACCATGCTACTTTGCAAAAATTTTAAAACTTTTGCAAAAATGTCACTTTGCATATTCCCAAATTACCATCACTGATTTTTCTACAAGAAAATCTTAAGATCTCAGTTGAAATCGTCGATTTTGCTGTCGTCGTCGATTTCTTTTGACATCGTCCATCTCGCATTAGATTTCCTCTAAATCATCGATCTCGTGCGTTGCCGAACTCGTCTAAGTATTCCTCTGTGATTTCATCTGACGAAACAATCTCAGTTTTCTTCTGCATCACCGTCGATGAGGCAAGAGTTTTTGGGATCTCGACTACTCGGTTCCGCTTGATCTGTTTGCAATTTCGCGTGGGTTGCTTTTGCGCTTTAACTATTTAACATCACTTGATTCTATGTGATATGGTTTGTCTAGAGCTGTTTCTGTTTTCGTAAATATGGGAATATGAGTTTATTGTTTTCTCTCGAATTGTTTCCATTAAGTGTAGAATTCGATTCATTTGTATGTTTCAAGAAGACGAATTGATTTATAGTTGCATTTTCAAAATTTCTCTAAAAAACAAAAGGGTCAAATAGATTTGGTAAATAAAGTTTCCTATTATCTAGAGAAATTTTGAAAAATATCATTTTTGAAGTACCACTTTTTAAAAATGTCACTTTTCAAAATTATTTACTTATTATATTATTTTGTTTGGGTTAACTATGTTTTATTAGGGCTTAGTGTTGAGGGTTTAGAGGTTTTTAGGGGTCAAAATATTTTTTAAGGTTTACAATTTTAAGATTTAAGTTTTAAAAATCAGTAATTAGTGGTATTTTTGAAAATGAACATCCAAAGTGGCATTTTTGAAAATCTACACACCAAAAATGGCATTTTTGAAATTGTCCCTATCATCTACCAACACTAAGATGGTATATTTTGACATCAAAAATTGAAAATCATTTCTACAAACAATAAAATTTATTACTAATATTTATACTATAAATATATAATTTTGATAATTTCGTAAATTTCTTTCTTTTCTATTTGCTATGTGATAAATATACCACATTTCCAACCAAAATCCAAATGTTTAAAAAAATCTTTATAAAAAAATCGACGAATATTTTGATTTTGTGTACTCATAATCATTTGTATAATTTATAACTTTTAAATATTGATATCAGCTTTAAAATGGATTTTGCGTCAATATTAAAAAAAGGTTAAGTAGTTTTTGGCAAATTAGTTTTCATATTATCATCTTTTCACACTAAGTTTTACAATTTTGTTAATAAAAATAGACAAAAGTTTCTACAAACATTAAAGTTTATCACTCATATTATTTGTGAATGTTACAGACTATATTTGGTTTTCATATTGTGTCGTATATAATATGTTCTAACTATAGATATTTTATGTTTTAATTTGTAGGTAGAAAGGGATTAGTTTGAAATAATTTGATGGTTTTTGTTTTTAGCTTGTAGGTGAAAATCGATTAGTTTGAAATAATATAATGGTTTTTATTTTTAGCTTGTAGGTAGACATTGATTAGTTAACTATGTTGTATTAGAGTTTAGTTTTGAAGGTCTAGGGATTTTTAGGGGTCAAAACATTTTTAGGCTTTAGAATTTTAAGATTTATGCAATAATTAGTGGTATTTTTGCAAATGGACAACCCAAAAATAGGGGTGGGCAAAAAATACCAAACCGAACCAAACCGTAATTAGGTGGTTGGTTTGGTTTCGGTTTTATCTAGGAACTCATTTGGTTGCTATTTTAATTATATTTCGGTTTCATTTCGGTTTAAAATCGTAAAACCGTTKAGGTTTTCGGTTTTTAAAAAAATATTATACTATTATTATTAGTTTCAGAAAGTTTAGTCATAGAGTGGTGTACTAATCGTATATATAATTAAAGAGTTTTTTCTCCATCTAGAGTATCCACATAGACAAAACTATTTTTGAAAACATTTAAGTTTTAAAAAAAAATTCATTTAATACACACTAAATCATATTTATTTATTTTTTATAACTAATAAAAAAATTAGAACAAAAACATGAAACATTAAATAAATTAATAAAATTAAAAATTAATAAATTTAAGACTAAAAAAATAGATATATCTCCATCTAGAGTGTCCACATAGGCAAACCTATTTTTGAAAATATTTAAGTTTAAAAATAAAATTAATTTAATACACACTAAATCATATTTATTTGTTTTTATAACTAATAAAAAAAAATTAGAACAAAAACGTGAACATTAAGTAAATGAATGAAAAATGTGTTTATGATTTGTAGTTAAAACAATTAGTAAAAATCAGCTGACGTAATCATATTTCTAAAATATTAAAAGAAAAAAAATATTCTCTATATTATTTCTAAGATCGATATATTTCATGAAATATGAACGGTCTATTTTTTATTAAAATATTTTTACTTCAATAAAAATAAAATCTTACATTCAATTAATTCATTTTGTTTAACCACACATTTAACTTAAAACATTATCTTTAACTCTATTATTTTTTAACCAACGTTTAAGATATAATATCATAAAATCTTAAATACTACGATGAACAAAAATAAAAATATATATAAACTCACGAGACAAAGATAAATAACAAAACAAAATGAGAAGTAATCATATTATAATCATATTATAAAAATAGATAAGAAAATGATTGATAAATTTTATTATGACATATATATAATGTAAGCAAAACATTAGTTGATTATGATAAATCATATAAGCAAATAATGGTTTACTTTTGTTTAGTGGCAAAGCATATAGATAATGTATTTTTTCTACTTAAATTTTAACAGTTTTTTCTAATTGAAATAAAATTGAAATAATTTGTTTTCCATG